GATGAGAACCCACTAATGTTGAGGCATAAATAAATAAAGGGGTACTGTGATCATCAACACGAAGGACATAAAGCTATTTTAGATCAGGACAGTCCTGCTTAGCAAACATTCTTCATTAAGAAGCCTTGCTGCTGCAGTGGAAGAGCCACTGGTAATGATGAAGAGAATAAAAAAGAACATATACTAAAGCATGTTTAAGTAACCATAAAACCTCTATCGCAAGATGAGAATAAATTTTTAAAAAATGAAAACAGATGTTGTAACAAAAATTTTCTGCATTTTACACAATTAATCATAAACCAAGTTTCCTCTCAAACTCCCTCATTTTCAAATGGGCAATGAGAATAATCAAGGAATTACTTGACTGCAGCCAGAGATTACGATTATTTAGTTTTGACAACACATCTGAAAATTTTGCCAATGCATTTAGACCCATGATATTACCAAAAAAATTAGGTAAAATCTTCGTTAATTTTGTTTACAGATAACAAGATATCCTACCCCTGTCAGTACAAAGTTCGTACACATATCTGGATGCGGAAATTAAGGATTTTTAAGGACCGTTAATGAAAAACATTATGGACCTATCAGAAAATGGAAAGTGAATAAATTCAATTTTAAAGATATTATCTATGCCTGAACTTCACTCTTGTAATCGTTGACAGTGCATTATTCCAGAGGAGAGCAGAAGTTGCTATGAATTATTCTCCACGACCGAAGAGCTACAACAACCGAAATCACCACCAGCTACAACCAGAGCTGTGGTGTCGGAATCGGAGTCAGGCAGATTACGAGGTAAAAGGAGTTGGAGCTGGAGTCGCTAAAAACAGGTTGACTCCGACTTTTTTTGTTGGCCAGTTTGAATTTGAAATGAAACTGAATTGGGAAAAAAAATTAATGACAAGCTGAGTTATTTTTATTTACTGACTATATACATTAATAATTATTTTCTATTTTGTTGACATATTAATAAATAAACATAAGGGAGGAGGATGTATGTGATATTTGCCATTCAATTAATCTTAGAACATAGTTTTGAGTAATCTCCCTATTTGCCCTTAGATTATTACTGCAAGTTATAAGTGCAGAGCAAGAAATCAAGTCAGGTTTGATAAACATATTATATGTCTAGTTAAGAGTATCTCTAGCACAAGACCACTGAACTCCAGTTAGTCTTTTAAAATCTAACAATTTCTTTCTCACCTAGTTAAATTTTTACCAAAAGTAATGCCTAGATATTTCACTCAGACTCACAAATTAAGGAGTCTTCATATTTCTAAATTCATTACAGTTTCTCATCAATTTAGTGTAAATATCTGATAGTATGTTTTTTCAATATTAACTTCCATTTCATTATCATCACACCACTTCATCTCTTTACCAAAAAATGTTTTCTTTTATGAATACTAAATGACCAGATAACCAAGTCATCAACATACAGGGCACAGACTATATTCTCAGTATTATCGAAAATTTGAAGTCATAATAAAAATATTAATGCTAATAAATATACTTGTGACTTTGTCTTGTTGTAATCCTAAATAAGATTGTCTGAATTTTGAGTAGAGTCTCTATATTTAAAAGCAAAAAAGGCATTGTTGTGTTCAATTTCTTAGCCACAGAAACAGCTTCCCCTTTATACCCAAGACTAGTAGCTTTTAGAACAATTTAAGTCTCCATACTCTATCGTAAGTTAATTCAAAATCAATCAAGACCGCTACTAGGGTCTCACCCCTCTCCAGGGCATTTTTTACTGCTTAATATAAAAGCTGTACTTGTTGACTGGTAGAGTGCACTTTTCTAAACCCGGTTTGAGAGGACAAAAAAAGACAGCCATTCTCCAGAAAAAACACTAATCAGTCGTTCATCATTCTTTCCATAATCTTACACACATAATGCTAGTTAAAGCTATAGGTCAATGATAGGACAATTTTGGCAACGGTTTGTCTTTTTGATTTTTATTATAGACACTTGTAAAATGTAGCTGGCGCTAATATCGGACAATAATCTTAGCTCACGAGAAACAGGTTAATAGAATTCATGAAGCAATAATTTCATATCACATCGACGGTGGATTATTACAACACCAAATTCCTGGCACGAGGCCCCAAAAGAGCAAATGCAAATAGTGATCTTGAAATGAAACTCATTATTTTAGTACACATAAAATTTTAAATACAAAATTGCATTATTCTGCATGAAAAATAGCCCAAAAAGCTCATAAGAGCACTCCAAAAGCTTTTGAGGTGATAGACATATGGTGAAGTTGAAAGTGATGCATATGAACGCATATACAAGAAAGTGGATCAAATACAGCTACCTAAGAAATGGCAAATGCATAAATTGTTACAAGAAAGGCAAAAACAAGCAAGTGAATAACAACAGAGATAAAAATATCCAAGCTAAAAATATACTCTACTACAAATTTAATTCCCAATAAAAGGATGTCAATATGAGATTTAACTCCACACATACAGCTAGAAATTATTTTAACTATATCACATACAATAAAACCTGAGTATTGTTTTTATTTCAGCTATCATTTTCTAGAATTCAGAGGCCAGTCAGGCTATCATCTTTAAATTTATTATTTCTATTTCTCAGTTTAGGATTTTCCGGTTTTATATTATTTTATTAGTGATCTGCATTAAGTAAACAATTATTGTTGTTAATACTGGAACTTGAAACAGCAATGGCTCAATAGATTGATTGTTGGTTTAATACATCAGTACATGATAGGAATAATGCACCCAAACTAGTAGTAAATAGTCAATTTTGTTAAACAATAATTAACAAAACATAAAATTATATTCCAATGAGAATTCATTAATGTATTGATGAATAAATGAATAAAACTTGCAACATGAAAGGAAGTATACAACCTCAATAAATGGTAAAAAGTATACAGAAACCTGCAATTTTACGATGAATAGATAGATTATAAGATAAATGCAAGTACAAAACCCGTTAAATTTGTGTACATTAAGTAAAACAATTAATGAAACACATTAAAAACAATTCACATTAAATTATATATCTATTCCAGTTTCTTGATGTTCCCTTATGCCCACTTATCTGGCGTAGCCAGCCCAAGCCCATGAAATTCCTCGTGGCAAGGAGCACTAGATTACGCCTGCTGTTGTTGGCAGGTCAATCAAGTACAAAATTCCGAACACCTTCGAAGAACACCATTCAGGTGACAGTACAGTTGAGCTCAATTCTGCCCCCAATTTGGATAGGCAGCATCCCAGAGGGATGGGTCCGAAGGGTCTCCCCCTCCTCTCTCCTTCCACCAAACCATGAGACGACTTTTGGCTTGCCACATATTTAGAGTGCCACTCAGTTTCTTTAGGATGCTGAAATAAATTTAAATTTGCCTCTTTTCCAACTAAATGGCTAATAGGTAGTTCACAACTATTAAAAAGACTTCAATCAGAATCTGGTAAAATATGGACAAATTTCTAAAAAGGGACGCAGAGCGAAAACAGGTTCATAATCAGCTTTTAAAAGATTTTTGTGTTTAACTCGAGTCTGACCAATTCTATGATGAATTAACAGAACTTTCTCCTTCTGCTTTGTAGTAGCTTCTAAATACTCTTGCTTTCATGCTTCTCAACTTTTTACGAGACTAAATATCCCAGAATAGTTGCAATTTATTCAGAATTTTGTACTTGATTGCCATTTTAATATCTGTAACAGAGACAAGCCCAGCAAATGAACCAACAGACTCCGCCAACTCACTACCTTTTATAACTACATGTATTGGAATCTAGCAGTGAAGAATCTGGTACTTACAGCTACATAAATTTATATTTCTGATATTAACTGCCACTGGATTCTGCATACCAGAAAAGAAATCTAAAGCTTTTAAAACACTAAATAAGCCAGAATGTATTATAAGCTTTTCTTTGCATAACTTTAATACAAACACATAGCAGTTACTTCCAAGGTGGTGCCTGCGCAAATGTCATGCAAATATCTATCATCCATGTGGTTCTCAATTATATGTGATGTATCAACATGACCAGTTTCTTTAGATTAATCTGTAACCACAGGAATATAACTAGAGTACTTATGTCTGTGTTTGTAAAAATGTTAGCAATATACAAACTCGTAAACAAATAAACAAACTCTCATGGCTGCAACAGTTTAACTGAATCAAAATGATGAAAATCCATTATGGCTTATCTATGTCATGAGCATAACAGAAAGGCAGATATCTGTCACCATATATTAGTGCTAAACAAAATTGCCATTAGCTAGTAACACAGTACCATGCTACAAGCTTCAACTCATTTTAACATCAACAATGCACTTTATTACTCCTTTTCAGATTATGACATGATAAAAATTGATTATTTTAAAATTTTATTTGATAGAAATGCAAGAAGGAATTGTTCAATGATGATGATGAATAATTTTCTTAAATTAAAAAAAAAAGTCTGACAAAAGTGCAGAAGGCTTTATGCAAGTATTAGTGGCATTTTATACTATTTTGGTACAGATATCTTATTATCGTGATATATAAATGGGAATAATCACAATTTCATTAAGGATATTTTACTGCTTCAAGGTACTTTCTTGCACAAAACTCAAGTTATCTTCAGTAGGTTATGAGAAGCCCTTGATGCTTTCTGCTACCGAAAGCTTCCCTATGAAAACTTACTTCCTTATGAAAACTTAAAACCACATTTATGTAACACATTACTTGGAAAGGAAGTGCAAGCAGCATATACTATACTTTCACAGTGAACTAAAACAAAGATGAAATACTGCTGCTTGGTATTCTTACCCATTCAACCATTAGTAAGCTTTGTTACAACCATACTACATATCTCTTCAAAATCAGTACATCTTATTCTATAATGCAGTTCACAATACAAATCCATACTCATATTCACTAATCTTTTCCACTCAGTTTTCGAGCTCAAAGTTCACAATAAAAATATACTACTGAATGCTCTTATACAAGGAATAAATATAATAAATTGAATTCTTACCCAAATATTACAGCATTCCATATCATTATATTATTATCAGTAGGAGCACCACTTACACCAGCTGGAGGATCTTCTTGCAATCTGAAACAAGCAACAAGAAATATTCAATATTCAGAAGTGAGGATCATATGGGTTAAAATGTAATTTTTGATATAAAAAAGCATATCATTACATAAAAGATAATCTTCCTACATCTAAACTTATTCAAGAAAAAATGTCAACTAAAAACATCAGTTAATAATTTTTATTATAAATAAAAACTAATACCTTCAAAGCTATTATCAAGCTAATCAACAGCGCAGATTGCTTTCATAATCAATACAAGTAACAAAGACTGAAAAAGAACTAAATATCTATGATTAATAGAAAGAAAGTTTATATAGGAAAAATTCGATGGTATACGACAGAAAGATTATCTCCAGAAACTAATTTACTTCCGAGGTTTTTTTAAAAAATTATTATTATTATTATTTTCAGTACCTTACGTAAGCCTACTCACATAAAGGCAAAGCAACAGTAATCTCTATTCAACGTAAGGAAATAACAGCATGACCATATTTATTTTAACACAAAAACTAAGTTAAATTGCAATTCAGAAATCATCAGAAGACAAACATAGGAAGTAGAACGTACTGAAGCAGGTTGTTGTACAAGCAATGTTCTGATTCAATCAATGGGCAGAACATTTACATAAACTTCAACATTTAATTAACCATAATGAATGAATATAATAACATATTTGTATACATATAAAACAAAAAAAAAATCGTATAATATAGGAAAACATGTCATATCAAACTTTTAACAACATTTACCTTTTAAAATCACGCATTAGTCGTCTCCGAGCTGGAGTAGACATTATCTTAGTTTTAACAAATAAATCCTGGCGATTTGGATTGAGCAATTAGCAGCACGAAGTTTAAAATATTAAAAACCAATGCGTTTTAAAACTAAACCTTGCTAAGAATTTAATTCTCTTCAACAACACTGTCACCTTTCTGGTTCTCACTCGATAGTTCGACTCGATGTGACGTCATAATCCGGGAACCGAAATACGTCAACATGAAATGAATGACTCAATACATTTTTTAAAGCTTTCTTAATTTTACGTTAGAATTCCCAACTCCTCTTTAAATTTTCTTACAGAAGACAACGCCTTTATTTAAAAGAAATATTCGGGAAACAAAAAAGAAAAACTAAAACGAACGTATTTTCTAATGCGTTTCCTCGTAGTAATCGATTACATACGGAATAAGATTTAGCATTTTACTTTAATATCATGGCACGAATACAGAGACAAAAATTTTAAATTCAGTTAATAATCATTTTTCGGTTTGAAGACGTAACAAAATGACTCATTAACTACAACTGTTAGCTAAAATTCTACATAGTCCGCCGAGGCAAGTGGCTGCACGTTGGCAGCGCTCAGTAAAAAAGTGAAAAAATTTCCTTTTCCCTTAGTGATTATCAATTAAATTACTTCGAAATGGTGTTATTTCTACAAAATCTATATCTTTTCAAAGAATTTCCTCTCCGATGTTGACGAGAATAGAACAGCGGACAATGTGAGGATATACTACGAAAGCCTGAAATTTTAAGATAAGTACCTTTCTTTCATCTAAACTAAATCAAATTTCTATAAATAAGTACCTTTAAATCAATAAATTTTTAATTTTTCAGCAGTTTTTAGCATTAAAAAATACTTGAAATTGCTCATTGCTTGTGGCTTCCTTTGTGAATCAATTCCAAACAGACGCCAACGTTATCAGTTCACGTCTGTCACCACCTACAAAGCCCCCTTATCTTGTTTTGAGGAATCTCGAGAGAGGGAAAATTGGGGATTTGGGGCATTTAGTTTTTAAGATAAGCACCTTTCTTTCATCTAAACTAAATCAAATTTCTATAAATAAGTACCTTTAAATCAATAAATTTTTAATTTTTCATCAGTTTTTAGCATTAAAAAATACTTGAAATTGCTCATTGCTTGTGGCTTCCTTTGGGAATCAATTCCAAACAGACGCCAACGTTATCAGTTCACGTCTGTCACCACCTACAAAGCCCCCTTATCTTGTTTTGAGGAATCTCGTGAGAGGGAAAATTGGGGATTTGGGGCATCGCGTTACTTCCCTCTCGGATCTTTTTTTCCCCCATTTTTTAGATCGCTTAGATGTATTTTCGCCCTTAAATAATATTACAGCTCAGCGTTTTTTTTTTTTTTTTTTTTTTTTTTTTTTTCTCAAACTGTTCCTTGCTATCACTTAAATGTCCAAATGTAAGGGATGGGTTATTCTTCATTACCTTAAATAAATTCTTAGAACTAGCTTATCTAAATAACAGTGAGCCTCAATGAGTTAAACTAGCATTAATTAACTAGTAATAAATTATGATAGTAAAATTAATAAATACTATGTTTAATTTATGTTTTTAATACATATACTCTGTAATTTACACACACATAAATATGTATTTATGTGTATACATACATATTTATGTGTGTGTATATATATGTATGTATATGTATGTATGTATGTATGTGTATATATATATGTATATTGTGTTTGTGTGTGTGCGGTTGTGGTCTTGTATTGTGTATGGTTATATGTTCTTTGTCTGCTGCTGTTTTTTGAAAAAGGTATGAAAATGTTTTGAACGAAAATAGCATAGGTTAGTTTAGTTAAATTAATGTACTTTTGTCTGATGTTATGGGTGTTTTGCTGTTGTGTCTCAGGATGCAAGTATACATTACTTTGCTTTCCATGCTAAATACCTTGATACGATGCATTTTAACACTCTTTTTTTTTTTTTTTTTTTTTTTTTTTTTTCAGTGTAACATCTATTCAGCATAACCAAACACACTCACTACACACACACACCTGTGAGTCACTATTTACTGTAAATGAAGACAACTTCTTCTCCTTTTTACTACACTCATGGACACAATCATATTTTAGGACATTTTCTACTTCTTTTCCTTCTCTTTCTATAGGCCTTTTTTCCCCCCTCTATTAAATTTTGGGCCATTTATTTTAAATTTTATTTTGTCCCATCTTTTCTTCCTGGCCTTTCGAACTCGTACAAAATGTACGAAGTTCCTTTTTACTCTCCTCTGAAATACGAAATTGCCCCTTTTCTATATACCTTTCCTTCGCACCTAAGCTTGATTTTTTGCCCATCGGTGCAGAAAGACTTAGCGGGTGCAAAGCAAGACATCTATCTATTTTGTCTGTCTGTCTGTCCCATTTTTTCTTCCTGGCCTTTAGACCTCCTACAAAGAGTACGAAATTCCTTTTTCTCTCCTCTGATGTTGAACTGCGGTGCTTCAGGGTGCCTGGGCGCCATAGCCCTACCCCTCATCGAATAACATGATAAAAGTTTCGAATTATGAGAAATATAACTGAATGTGCTAAATAATTAAATGAGCAAGAGTTTAAATTCATAATTGCTAATAGTTAAATGCATATTTTTTCCCTTAAGTACCTAATTACTAATTCATATATAATTAACTATTTTTTAACAACTATTTCACAGAAGAATACATGTTCACACAAGAGAAGCAAAATACGAAGTGCGACGCCTTAGTGCCACTAGTAAAAACAAAAAGCAATCCGGAGGAAAAAAGAACAATATACAATAAAGAATCTGAGCAACAATTTGCATAACACATATACAAAATTACACATTACTAACATTTAGGATCGCCCTTGGGCGTTTACTGAAATTGGGGTCCCTAGTATCATAACAATAGTTAACACCACAGGATTGTCCAGAAGTTCCTGTTTATCATAAAATGCCCTAGATAGGCGGCAATTAAAATCACAAAGATCCTCTATTCTTAACTCTTTACGAATTTGGTTATTCCGAATGTACCAGGGGGCATTATATCATACGCAATACCCCGTTTTGGCCAGCTTGTAACTGCCTTCTCAGACTTTTTCACGAGTATGCCTAGACGAGGCATGCATAACTAAGAATTGGACGCAACATGGTTTTGTAAATGAGCAACTTATTATCAATAGATAGAACACTGTTTCCAGCAATTAAGGGGAAGAGTGAAGCTTTACTAGCTCGAAACTTCCTGAGAATATGTGTAATGTGTGGGTTCCATGTAAGAGATTTACTGAGGATCACTCAGCACTATGCTCGCCTTTGTTAAAATTAGTTCCTTTGTTAGGATTCCTATTGTTTAATATTTAAAGGAATGGCATCCGTAATTAGGAATTAATTCTCCCGATACGCATATTGTGAAATAGCAAGGAATGATTAAAAAAAGTTACTTAGACTCACGCTAAGCAGCTTGATTTATTTAATGCTTTGTTTAGGAACTAATAAATTAATTTTATATACTTTCTTGTCATTAAATGTCCGTTGTAATGGGATTAAGATTATGTTTACTCCTCATAAGAAGGTTAAAATACAAGGAGACATCATTCTCCAGTTTCAGCATGCCCTTAGCTGTCGGAACCAAAAAAGGTAGCGCTAATTTTTATAGCAGTTTTTCAAATGTTATTTATAATGAATGAAACTATTTAAATTCACTATATCATTTAATTTAAAAAGATCTATAAGCATCAGAGATGCTCTTGCTCACTTCCATGGGATTACTAGTCTTGGAATTAGACACGACTTTCTATGAATGTTTTTAACTTAGCATGTATCTTGCTTATATTATTGAAAATTAGTATTGAAGGATCTCAATTGTTACATGATATTACTTTAAAATGTAATAACAAAATTGCATATTTTGATTAAATACACAGCTTGCATGTGTAAAAAAAGAAAGAAACTATATTTGCATGCTTTATATTTCGCAAAAAGCAGCTATGATCAGCGTACACGTAAAACGTTATTCTTAGGCCCGCCTACTGTGGGATTTCACTGCGTTGTGTCCACCATATTTTGAACCTTATAGTAAAATTTAATGGTGAATATTTCTCGTGATAGCATATTTCTTCCTAACGGCTTTTCATGTATCCTGACGTATTACTCTCTTAAATAATAATGCATTTTTCAATGTAAAGAAGTATTAAAATTGTTTTTATAAAATGTATCTTTCCTGAACAGAAAACATACATATATATGTAGCTTAATAATTCAAAAAGTATATAGTGTTTATCAACGTTGAGCATTTGGAACTGACAAATCTAAAATTGCTTAAATATGTTACACAAACTCAATTTTAAAATAATTTCTTCAATCAAGTTTGATAAATTTATAATAAAGAATAAAATCAAATTATTTAATTTACAGTAGTTCACATCTGTTTTCAGATACTTGTATTTTTGAAAAGTATTGGCAGAAAAATGCTTTTCTAATGGATTATTTTTTCCCTATTTTAAGCCCAGCTTGTAGCAAAATAAATATTATCAAAATATTCCTCATAATAAAATAATTTATTCAAAAAGCAATGTCCACATCACTGATGTGGACATGGCAACATGCTACCAAGGTTTCTAAAATTTATTTTACTAATCTTGAGATGCTACAAATATTGTGAATCGAATTTTAACTATGATGTATATAAAAGTGCGCATGTCTTAATAATAAAATAATAACTTTTTATACTTTAGAATTTGCCAACATAAAGAAAAAACGTAATTATTGTTAATTTATGTTTTCAAGTTCCCGAAATATTTGATGTACGTAAAATGAGATGGTTTTCCTGAACGCACATATTGTAAATAAATACATTCTTCATATAAGCTAAGCTATTTTAATGATCCAGTTCTAGACTTAATCCTAGTACACATGAATTTTGGTTACATTATGATGCATATTTATGATGAGCAGCAAACGAGTCATTTCGGTGTTCGTGACAATTTTCAAGGTGCTATGCTAGGATTCCCTATGCTAGGATTTTAGCCACTTCTAACAACAAATTAACGACAAGTTCCATTAGGAAATTAATTATTCGTTATATTGGGGATAACAAAAGTATTCGAAATGCTAAAAAATTCTTTAATATAGTCTTTATTAGTCTGGACCGCATTCCAAACCAAGGAATAAGAAATTCCTCCAATGAAAAATAAAACAAGACCCAAAAATT